GCGGACTGTATCTTAATAACCCCATGGTGGCCGAGACAACCTTGGTTTTCAATGGACCTGGAGTTATCACAGGGGATATACCATCAGTTCTCTCTGGCTCAGGACCTCCTCCTTCTCTCAGACTCCCCCGTCCTACATCACGACATACCACAGTTGAAACTGACGGCATGGCAGATAACATCACCGACTTCTCCTCCCGAGTAGTGAACGTCCTTTTGAATTCCAGGAAGCCTACTACACGGAGGTCCTACAATTATAAGTGGAGAAGGTTCTGTTCTTCCCTAGGTGATTACACCCCTCGAGCCACTTCAGTGGGTCTCGAAAGAGTTTTCCGATTCCTCCTCTCCTTAGCTGACTCGGGACTTTCCCATTCATCGTTGAGAGTTTATTTGGCCGCCCTCTCGGCCTACCATGTTCCAGTTGACGGATGTACTTTGTTTTCACATCCAATTTCGAAACGATTTTTAAAAGGTTTGTTACACCTCTACCCTCCTGTCAAAACTCCAGTCATTCCCTGGGACCTTCCTCTAGTTCTCCGCCAGCTCACGAGGAAGCCCTTTGAGCTGCTTGCGACATGTGACCTCAAACTCCTCATATGGAAAACGGCCTTTTTAATTGCTATCACATCGGCAAGGCGAGTTGGAGAAATATTGGCTTTCCGGCACGATACACCTTACCTATTGTTTCTGCCAAACGGAGTCCGCCTCGTCCTGGACATCTCCTTCCTGCCAAAGGTGGTGTCAGAGTTCCACCTGCAGGCGGAGGTCTTCCTCCCTGACTTCTTTCCAAATCCAACATCAGCGGAGGACGAATTATTACAAACCTTGGACGTGAAGCGGGCTCTTCTGTTCTATCTCAATAGAACACACCCAACTAGACGGGACTCACATCTTTTTGTCTCGTATGCTCCGGCACGTCTGGGTACTCGCATCACGGCCCAGCGCCTGTCAAAGTGGATTGTAGGTCTAATCCATCTATGTTACCTACTCGCCAAACAGCCATTACCTGGCCCTATCAGGGGTCACTCTACCAGGGCTGTCGCTACTTCCACTGCCTTCCTCCAAGGAGGGCCAATAACGGACATTTGCAAAGCCACTACCTGGGCCACGCCTAACACCTTCATCAGGCACTACGCCCTAGACGTCCGTACAAACACCAATACTAACATGGGACGTCACATTCTGTCTTCTGCTACGCAGTAAAAGACCTGCCAGCACCCTCCTCCAGGTAGGCTACTGCTCGCTAATCTCCCATGGCTGTGAAGCACAGAGACCACGTCGAAGATAAGCAGGTTGCTTACCTGTAACTGGTGATCTTCGAGTGGTCGTCTGTGCATTCACACCACCCGCCCTCCTTCCCCGCTGCTGTCAGCTTCTACAATTTTAATAGGGGTTGATTTGCAGCGGTTTGAAGGAACTGGCGGGATTTCCGCACCCACTCCTCTGGGCATGCACGGTGGGGTTCCTGCGCATGCCCGAGGGACTGGGCGTGAAAATTGTTAAAAGAGCTTGCTACAGCACCGATCGATCCAGTGCGTGTGCACTAGATCCTATGGGTGTGAATGCACAGATGACCACTCGAAGATCACCAGTTACTGGTAAGCAACCTGCTTTTCTTTACTCCTCTGGAAGCCTGTATGCAGCCCAACACTGATGCTGCCTGGTAGTAAAGCTGCAGCTCTGAAAACCTGGTTGTACTCAGCAGGGGGTGTGAGTTGGGTTTGTGACTGTGTGGTCCTAGTACAGCCTCTGCTGGCAGGTTCCATTTATGGCTACAAGTAGCAAGGCAGTCTAGTCTAGACTGAGGTCAGCAACCAGAGGCACTGGGCTAAAAGGCAGCTAATTTTATGTACATCATTTGTCATTCCCCCACCCCCCGAGAGGCTTAGATCAGCCTGCTTTACTCCATTTCTATCCCCTCAGCAGCCCTGTGAGGAGGTTGGGCAGTATGTGACTGGCCCAAGGACCACCCCAGCAAGTTTCCATGACCGTGGGAATTTAAACCTGAGATGCCAGGTGCAAGTTTGACACTCTAACCACGGCACCCTACGAGCCGGAGGCAATTCCTGCTAGTGACCCCAGCAGCTACAGCTGTTTGACCCCCATCAGGAAGGAGGCCGGTGGCATGCTGCCCTCACTTCTCCCCAGATGCAGCCCTTCAGGAAGTAAAGACACTTCCACGCATAGCGGAATAAAAATCCAACAGTTGATGCTCTTGGTTTTTTGTACAATCATTTATACAAATTCAACAGAGGTAAAACTGTCAGGAAGGCTGGTCTATGGGAGAAAAACACCACTTGACAACAATGGCACTTACGTAGGCTGGATTTTTTTACAACCAAGGATTACCCATCCTTCAACTGTTTGGGGGAGGAAGAATTCAACTTGTACTTTCAAACCAGAACATAAAAAACCAAAACTGCTTGCTTGTGGTATATTTGCATTTACATACCCCTCTGAGCACCCCCATGCTGACCTCAAAAACCTTCCCCTGTGCAAAAGCTCTAGTTGGAAGTCCCAAAACTGAGAGGTGAATTCTATACAAATACAACGTGGCAATGCATTCTTTTCTTGGACTGGGCATTTAACACTGCCTTTCCCCCAACAACATGCTTAGGGTGTTCCCAGCTTGTACAAAGCAGGATATAAAACTTCCAGTAAAACATGCTTTTTTTTTCCATTTAAGGATTGCCCTACTTCATAAACTAGGCCCAGCCTCTGGCAACGGGCCATTTATATCTCTGAAGTTCAGGGTAAACTCTCCAACCGTAAAACTTGGCAGCTTAAAATCAAAGAGAAACACTTTCAATGCATCCAAAAACTTTTGCATAAATAATTTTTTTAAACAAATTTGTACAAAAATAGTTCTGCATAATGTAGGATGTAACAAAAAGTGTTCAAAAGGCAAAAAATGCAGGATATGGCCCACATTGCTGACACCAAAATCAACACTGCTTCTGGTGTCTGCCACAACATTTTTTTAAAGTGTACACGCTCCCAGGCTGTGATGGTCCTTAAACCGCGGTGGGGGCGGGGGGGGGGGGGGGGGGACCCCTTCCTCGACCCAGGCATGAACAATCCTTTGCTGTCATCACTGGAAATTAAACCACCTGGGTAGAAAGCATCAGGTAATCCTCAAGAGGCTGAAACGGTAGCTGCAGGTGGCTTGAATCCCACAGGTTCCTGTCCACTCTTGCACCTTTTGACACGTGGGCTTATCTGGCTGGCATCTTCCAACCAAAAATAAAATTCCCTCTTTGTCCTCCTGGAGTCCTTTTTCTCCCTTAACTATTTACAAATGTGCCCTTGGAAAAAAAAATACTAACTCAGTTTCTGCAGCAGTTTCTCTTCCACCTGGTTAAACTGAACGCTGACCGACATCTCGGCTATGAACTGCTCACAGCCTTCCTTGCTGACTTGCTTGCAGTACCTCAGGTCGATCCGGCAGATGCTGCCACAGCGCTTGAAATAGGAGAGACACTGGCCGGTCACCTGGTTGCAGTCTGTCGGGGAACAAGGGAAGGTCAACGTAGTCACAAATTAAATCAAAAGTGCTCCAGATGTTGCATTTTTACCTCCCAGACATCAGGCGCGTGGGTTTCTCCCTCCTCCATTTTTCTCATTTAAACCACCCCTATAAGATGCCAGGGGTCCCCGGCCGACACCCGGCCTAGTTCCTGCCAATTTGTTTAGAAAAGTAGGAAGAGTTTTTGCCCAGCAAGGCTTCAGATGGGCTATTGGGAGATTTGATTTAAAGTGCGGCTTCGGTAGCCGCTGCCGTCACAGCACAAGGATCTAGAATGTGTGACTGAAAGTAGGCTGCAGCAGCTGCAGCAGCAATTTTATGGCTGTACCCACCGCCCTGTTGGGGACCCCTGCATTAGGCAGATAATGTGACCAAGCCCAGGGTCTCCTAGTCAGCCTCACAGCTGTCGGGGGATTTAAACTCCAGACTTCTAGGTCCTCTTCTAACCATCATGACACTACGCTGGCTCCTGGGAGAGCATGTCCTCACCCACAGAGGCGGCTTTCGCTACTTCCGGGTACACTACACACTGGGCATCATCTGACCGATGCAACTGCAGAGGTCCATCAGGGAAGGCCGTCTGCCCTGGAAGAAGCTATTGAGGGGTGTGGAGATGGGGGGGGGGGGAAGAATTCTTAACTCACACAGCTCGGGAGGACAGCAGGGCAAGGAGATGCAAGTTCCCTCCTCCTGCTTCCCCCCCTGCCTACCAGTCCTGTGCTGACGGAGCACCCACTGCTCTACCACCAAAGAAACCTTTCTGGAAGTTAAGGCCTGTGTTGCACTGCAGGTGTTTGACTCCCAGACAGGGTGAGAGGCTACTGGCCTGTGGTTTCAGTAAAGGCCCTCGTCTCGCACGTGGGATCTCTGCTGACCTGAGGTGGCACAACCAGTCCTACCTTGCAGGACGACTTCCGTTAGGGAATCCCGTGTGGTGGTGCCCACGGCCGTCAGCAGGTTGACGGACTGATCTGTCATGTGGTTGCAGAAGCTGAGGTCGAGCCTGGCCAGCAGCGGCATGTGCCGGATGATCAGGCGCAGGGACGCGTCTGTGATGTCCAAGCCGGACAGGCGCAGCGCCACGATGTTGCGCAGTTTGCTCCGGTTGTCGATTTGGCCTATGCCCCCAATGGCAGAGGGGGGGAGAGAGAAAAGGCTGTCGTTAGCTTAGCGCCCAGGCCCCTCGGGCACTCCTAGCTGAATTATGCGGACTCTTAAAGGCTTTGCTGGGGCTGCTTGCCGAGGGTGCTGTGGAGTGCCTGGGCTCCAAGCCACCGCAAAACTCCACACCCTGTACAGTCCGCGCAGCCTTAGACCACCCAATACATTGCATGAGGTGCTCATCTGGAATACCCTTCCATCCATCTCCCTGCATGTGGAGGTGGGGGAGGGGTGGAAGAGGAACCATGCCACTTGTCTGAGAGCCAGTTTGGTGTAGCGGTTAAGTGCGCGGACTCTGATCTGGGAGAACCGGGTTTGATTCCCCACTCCTCACCTTGCACCTGCTGGATGACCTTGGGCAAGCCATAGTTCTGTCAGAGCCACTGTTCCCTCTAAGCTGAGTTAGTGTGAGCTAGCTCACAGTTTTTTAGCCTCTGGCTCACACATTTTTGTCTTGGCTCAGGAAACATGGCTCTAGAGCAAGCTAATTTATGCAGCAGGCAAATCGCTCGCTCACAACTTTAATGCCAGTAGCTCACAAAGTAGAATTTTTGCTCACAAGACTCCACAGCTTAGAGGGAACATTGGTCAGAGCTGTCCTTGAAAAAGAGCCGTTTCTCTCAGAGCTCTCTCAGCCCCACTCACCTCACAGGGTGTCTTTTGTGGGGAGGATGGGAAAAGAGTTTGTAAGCTGCTCTGAGACTCCTTTGGGTAGTGAAGGGCGGGGTATAAATCCAATCTCCTCCTCTTCTTCCCCCTTAACCACCCCTCCTGCAACATCTACATTTTTATCCCTGGGCAGCCTGCTAAGACTGAGTGTGCTGAGATGGCTTTGCAGAGGGCAACGGCGTGAAAGGCGTGTGCCCACCAGGGCAGGCAGAGTAATACAAAGTCGATGCCACGTGCCACAGAGGCCCCAGCCCCTGCCCTTTCTTCCAGTCCAAGAGAAAAGACCTCACGCTAAAAGCAGAAAACAAAGAAGCCGGGAATTCAGAGGAACCGCTGCTCAGGCACCCGACAGCATCCGTGTGAAATACGAACAGCCCAGAGTGCAGGATGCGCTTTAAATTTCCCAAATGCAGAGGGATCTGTCCCAGAGCAGCCAGCTGAACCTTTACCTGGCCTGTTGTCAGTTGGTGGCGACAAAAGGTCTCTCATTTGTGCATCTTTTAAACCTTCTACCCACTGGACATCCAGAGTTCGGAGGAGGGGACAACTGGAACTGCAAAGAGCGGACACGGCGATCCACGAGCACCCTGCCAGGACCAGATCCCGCAGACCTGTGTGGGCGAGAAGGCAACACCGTGGGCACCAGACTGCTTCTGCTTTGACCTTTTAAAAGCAAATCTAAACGACAGAGTTACGAGCCTCCTCTCAGAAGTCTTGCTCGGGATCACCAGAGCCTGGAAAGGTTCTCTTGGACACTGGGTCTGCTCTGCCCGACGAGAGCGAACACACGCTACAAATAAATCCAACTCCTAGATGGGGCCGGCCAGCCTTCTAGACAAGCATGTCATAAGTCAAGTCCTTGATGCCAGAGAGTGCCACTCTGGTGTGCATGGCAGAATGTGCCCCCAACCCCTCCGGCTGCTCTTTGTGGTCCCAAAAAGAGAACTGAAGGGAGAGTGCCTTTGGGCAGGAAGCTCATGCCGATGATTGGAGGGGGAGCACTCTTGGGAGGAGAGAAAATTCTCTCTCAGAGCTCACTAGCTCCTCCTGGTGGCGGGCCTGCGGCAGGGCAGTCTCATGTGGGACTCCATAGAAGCCAGGAAGATGAATGAGCAGTACAGATGAATCCGGTGCCCAGATGGGAAGTCATGGTCAGTGTTCCCTCTAAGCTGAGTTAGTGTGAGCTAGCTCATAGTTTGTTAGCCCCCAGCTCACAGATTTTTGTCTTAGCTCAGGAAGGATGGCTCCAGAGCAAACTTAATTTATGCGGTAGCCAAATCCCTCGCTCACAGCTTTAGTGCCAGTAGCTCACAAAGTAGCATTTTTGCTCACAAGACTTCACAGCTTAGAGGGAGCATTGGTCATGGTGGCCGGCCGGCCGGCCGGCCTTCTTGTAGTGTAGTGGTTTGAAGTGCAGACTCTAATCTGGGAGAACCGGGTTTGATTCCCCACTCCTCCACATGCAGCTGCTGGTGTGACCTTGGGTCAGTCACAAGTTCTTTCAGAGCTGTTCTCTCAAGGGCCGTTCTGTCAGAGCTCTCTCAGCCCCACCTACCTCCCAGGGTGTCTGTTGTGGGAAGGGGGAAGGAAAAGGAGACTGTAAGCCACTCAGACTCTGAGTGAAGGGTGGGGTATAAATCCAATCCTCCTCCTCCTCTAGGCAAGCGTGCCATGAAGTCCTTGATACACAAGAGTGCCACTCTGTGCCCCCCTCTCCCCACTAGGCTGCTGGAGAAAAACCCCTGCACCCCAAGTGGCACCTGTGACCCCACAGAAGCCCAGATCTAGTCCCCTTCCACCACTTGGGAAGCCAAACTCCAGGCTGTCCTTGGCTCTCGCTGTTAGCTCAAGGGGCCTTGCTCGGCCACAAGAGGTATGGGGCCACCCCTGACCCCTCCAAGTTCTTCCTGGAACGAACCCTTCCCCTGGTCTGCCCAACTTAAGACTCAGCAAGTTCCCTTTCCATACACCTACCTGGGAGCCTGTTGATGAGCCAGCTCAGCTGCTTTTTGGATATGTTTGTCCAGCTCAGATCCAGTTTGACCGGCTGCCTCCGAATAATACCGCTGAGCATAAGGGGGGTGATGGATTTACAATGGTTTAGATCTATTTTGGTCCACAGTCTCTTATCACAGCACCTATGGAGAGAAGCAGAGGCGTCATGGCACGGGGAGACCGACACGTCGGCTGCACTGGGGACTAGAAAGGGAGGAGACAGTCTCCCATTCCGCATTCAGAAGAAAGTTGGTGCCAGCTGGGCCTCATCTGTTCTCTAGCTGATGGCGAAGGCTTGCAAGAGCCCGAAATTCTCTTTGCATCGCCAGAGGAACAGAGCATGAGCCAAGTAGCCTTGGACTTTGCAAGAGAAACAGGAGGTGGTTTTATGGCAGAGCAAAGTTTCTAACTCGGAATTATACCAAGTTCCTTGCAAGACCCAACCAGGCGCTCTCTTAATACTGATAACACAGTTCGCTGCATTTTATGGCTAACATTTTCAGGGTTAGGCATGTCCCACTGAAACCACTGCTTAGGGGTTGCATCTCTCTAGAGCGCCAGTCTCCCCCCCCCCCCCCCCCCCCCCCAGCTCCTTACCATCTGTTCCAAGTCCTGCACACCCTCATGCAGACGCACAGTTCGCTGTGGCTGAGGTAGCTGAAGACGGCCATCCAGACCTCCCGCTGCATCACGTGGGCGGCCCCGTCATCCAGGGGAAGCGAGTCCGGCGGGGGGCTGATGGGGGGCGGCCGGATGACGTGGCGCTCCATCTGCATGCACTTGGGTGGCGACAGGGAGGGGGGAGGCCGGCTGATCATCCGGGGAGTGCTGCTGCGCAGGCTGGGCAGGAGCTGGTGCCGGGGTTCCCGGGGCGTCCCGTTCAAGCCCTTGCTGAAGCGGTGGGGCCGCTCGGGGCAGAGGGCTCGCTTGGGCTCCTCGTTCTCGCTCTCCGGCTCCGACTTAATGGGCTGGTGGTTCTCGTTGGCCAGGCTGTTCTCAGTCTTTTGGATCTCCTGGTTGAGCTCCTTGCTGAGCTCCTTGCTGAGCTCGTTGGAAACGCGGTTTTTCCGCCGGATCTTGAACTTCTTCTTGTCGCCGCGAGACTCCGCCCCCTCTGAGCTGGGCCCAGCCATGGGGGAGCTCGAGCGGGACTGGTCGCTCTCCTTGCTCTTTGGCGGCTCCTCCGGGAGGCCCTCCTCCGGCTCCTGCTTGAAACACCGCAGAGGCTTCACCAGGGCCGTTCGGTCGTCGGCCGCCTTCCAAGACCGCCGCTGGAAAGGAAATGTCGGAGGTTCAGTGGAACAGACCGGGGAATTACACTAGGGACTGACAACACGGACTGAGTAATCACACCTTCCCCACAGAGAACCCTGAGCGTGCTAGTTCAAGAAGAGCGGCAACCTCCAACAGAAGACTACAACTCCCAGGGTTCTCTGGGGGATGACAGCTATTAAAGTGGTATACAACCATTATGTATCTCGAGTTGGCTGAAATTCTGAGATGCTCAGAAACTTAAAATGTCCATTCATGCAATCCACAATGAAGGTTAAAATGCAAGATGAGTAATGGAGACCAAGCTGAATCCCGGGGTTTCTGGGCCACCCACACTGACATTTTACTGCATGGCTGGGAAACCATCTACAGGGAAGTATTTTTCAATGTAGCTAAAATCCCACCCGTACTACTTCTGTGTAGATAGCCCCTGCTCAGGCACCACAGAAATCGCTCCAGCACTGGGTTGTCGACATCCGCCAATTGCTTGTGGAAGGGTCAAAAGTTGGGCATGAGGACAACAGCGCTTCCCTATTATCCCTGGCAGCTGCGATTCAGAGGTAGACTGCATCTACACCTCGAGGTTTCATTCGGCTCTCCTGGCCAATAACCATTAAGATGGGTGTCACTTCAGTGTGCCAGGGACCGGGGCTGGACCAAACACTGGATTTCAGGGGGGTAGGAGAACAGCAGGAGAGACACCAGCTGTGATTCCCTTCCCTGCCCCCCAGGTATGCCGATTCATAGCATGCTCCATCTTGACGATGACAGTACAAATAACTGGGTGGGGGGGAGGGCAGAGAGAGAGAGAAATCCACACAAGTCACAGTGCCAATGAAGTACCTTTTTCCTAAACAGCTTCTCTTCTTTGCCTAGTTTTAGCTGTTGTCAGAGAAGGAAGGAAAAATAGAGAGGTTTATTGTACAGACGCGCTTCGATACCACCATCCCCACTGTTGCTGCCAAGAGTCCCAACAGCAGTTGCAGGTCATTTGGGCTGCAGTCCTCCGCATGCTCTTAAGCGGCTTAAATGCTGCACGCAGGGCTGAAGTAAAAAATCAAGGCAGAGGCCGCACTGTGATCTGAGGAGTGTGTGTGTGTGTAAACCTCCCCAGTGGCACGGGCTGAAATATGCAGAATCCTTGACATGCAAGCCCACAACAAAACCTGTACTAGCCCGGCTGTCCGCATGTAATACCAACCTGCCACTGCCAAGGCTAGAGGGAAAAGAGGGCCCCTCTGCCAGGTGTGGACTGAGATCTCACTATGGGGAGAGTTTAGTTGCTGTTTAATGGCCGTACAGCACTTCAGCTTGGTTGAAAAACAGGATTAAGCTATAAACCGTTCAGTTCCTGCTGCCTCTCATTAAAAGGGCCGCAGGTAACAAGCGTTGGGAAAGTCCCTTCTCTGCCTAAGACCGCAGAGCAGAAAAAATGCAGCTAGGGCGACCAGCAGACTGATTGAGTAGAAGGCAGCTTCGTTACACTCAAAGAGGAAACAGCTAGTTTGTAGAAAGGAAAGGAAAGGTTTAGGAGAGCTCTCGAGCGTCTTCTAGTGGTCACAATATGAAAAACAGAAAGCCAGGTCCTTTGTCACGCTAAGCCCCTCTAGCTCCTGAAGATGGAGAGAGCAGACAGAG